TGTGTGTGTGTGTGTGTATCTGTGTGTCTGTGTGTGTGTGTGTGTGTGTGCAGGAACACATGATGGGATCAGAGGACAGCTTGTGGACTTGGTTCTTTCTCTCCTTCCACCACGGCTTCCCGGGATTCAGCTCAGGTAACCAACCTTGCTCAGCAAGCACCTTTACCACTGACCCACCTCGCCGGCCCCGTCTGTGCTTTTCTTTAGTGGCTTCAGAATTTCTCTTTGTCCATTTGACTATTTAATCATTAGGAATCTGCCTTTCCACAAGCACGCGTCTAACAGCTGCGGTGAACTTGGCACTATGAGCTTGGGAACCTCAGTGAGCAAAGATCTTGCCTTCACACAGCCTCCATATTATCGGCAGTTAATGAGTCATCGCATAAACAGATAGGAGGCCAGATCGGACGGCACACCAGTGTAAGCCCAGCACTTACAAAGCTGAGACGGGGGGCTGCTGTGAGTACGAGGTCGGCCTGGATTGTATGGAGAGGACCAGACCCACCAGGGCTACATAGCAAGACCGTGTCTCAAAACAGAAGGGAAACTGGTAACAACAGCAGCAACAAAGCCAGACACAACAGCAATTCAGTTACATAATTTGTTTAAATTAGGTTAAATAAAAAACATAACAAATGATAGCAATTCAATTACATAATTTGGTTAAAGGTAAATGTTATTTGGGAACTTCTTGGGTGATGGAAATGTTTCTTACCTTGGTGGTGGGACATTTTATAAAGGGTAAAACACACTGTATTTTTATGATGTCAGGGCACATTTTACTCTATGTCAATTTATATTCAATAAAGTTGGCTTTGTAAATTACAATAAATAAAACAGATCAAATGAAGTAGTAAAACAGAAAGGAACCCTCATCACCTCCCTCCTCCTCTCACTAACAGGTAACTAACAGGTTAACACTGTTAACACTTGGAGACTTCTGCACTTTTTCCAAATCAGTATTGCTCGAGTTACCCCCTTTCCCCTAAACTCTAGACCTGCCCACTTCACGTCTTCCATTAAGAACTCATCTCATTCAGCGCTCACACACTTTATGTCTACTTATTAAAGGCATGCTGTGTATCAAAGATGACGATGAGTCTTAGGTCCATAACAGCAAGACAGACAGACAACATGATCTTGCCCTTGAAAAGTCAGTAGACAAGTGAAAGCAGTTACAATAGATGGTGACAAACAGATGCCTTGATGAGAGATCATAGGAGCACATGGGAAGGAATGCTCACCAAAGATGGGGGTCAGGGAGAGTCCTGGAAGGAAAGAAGCATCCTCTACGATCTAGAGAGTAAAAACCAGCCGGGAGAGGGCTTGCCTAGCATGCACAAAGCTCCAGTTCAGTCCCCAGGACCAGCATAAACCCAGCACACCTGTAATCCCAGCACCTGGGAGGTAGAGACAGGAGGTCATCCTTGGCTACTAAGCCTGAAATGAGACCCTGTTTCCAAAGTAAATAAACAAAAAAGCAAACTTTACAAAATCCTTATGCTTATGCTCAGGGGGAGTGCCAGGACTAGATGATTCTCATAATGTAGGTAACTAGGAAACTGCACAGAATGTACAAACAAAAGTCAAATGTCAGAGCACACCCTGTAGTCTCAGCACTTGGGAAGCTAAGGCAGAAGAATTGGTGGAAGCTTTAAGCTAGCCTGGGCTACACAGAAGGTAAAGGGCAGCAAGGGCCACACAGCAAAATTCTTCTTAAAAAACAAACAAACAAACAAAAAAAAATCCTGGTCATTCTTGGTGGCACACACCTTTGATCCCAGCAATCAGAAGGCAGAGGCAGGCTTATCCTTCAGGGTTCAAGGCCAGTCCGGTCTACATAGTGAATTCTAGGCTAGCCAATGCTACACAGTGAGACCCTATCTACGGGGATGAGGGAGAGGTGCAACGAGATGGCTCAGCAGATAAAGGCACTTGCCACACAAGGCTGATGACTTCACAGTAGAAGGAGAAAACCAATTCCCAGAAAGCTGTCCTCTGATCTCTACATGTGCATGAAGACATGTATGAGTCTACAGTCAGACACAAGCCTCTCTCTCTCTCTCTCTCTCTCTCTCTCTCTCTCTCTCTCTCTCTCTCTCTCTGTCTTAGTTAGGGTTTCTATTCCTATGAAAAAAACACCATGACCATGGCAACTCTTATAAAGAAAAACATTTAATTGAGGTGGTGGTTTATAGTTCAAAGATTCAGTCCATTGTCATCATGGCGGGGAGCATGGTGGTGTGCAGGCAGACAGGGTGCTGACTACATCTTGATCAGGAGGCAACAGGAAGTGGGCTGTGACACTGGGAGTAGCTTGAGCATAGAAGAACTCAAAGCCCGCCCCCACAGTGACACACTTCCTCCAACAAAGCCACACCCCCCAATAGTGCCTTTGGGGGCCATTTTCTTTCAAATCACCACCACAATAATAATAATAAAAATAAAATTAAAACCGGGCAGTGGTGGCGCATGCCTTTAATCCCAGGACTGAGGAGGCAGAGCCAGGCAGATCTCTGTGAGTTCGAGGCCAGCCTGGTCTACAGAGCGAGATCCAGGACAGGCACCAAAGCTACACAGAGAAACTCAAAAAAAAAAAAAAAAATTAAATTAAATGTCAGGCATGGTGGTACATACCTGTTACCCCAACACTTGGGCTAAAACAGGAAGCCAGCCTGAGCTACATCATGAGTTCCAGGCCAGTCTGGGCTACAGAAGGAGATGATGTTTCAAAAAAAACAAAACGTGCTGGAGAGATGGCTCAGTGGTTAAGAGTATTGTCTGCTCTTCCAGAAGATCTGGGTTCAATTCCCAGCACCCACATGGTGGCTCACAACTGTTTGTAACTCCAGTTCCAAGGGATCCAACAACCTCTTCTGGCCTCTCCAGGCACAAGACAGAAACACTCATACATATAAAGTAATACAAGAAAAAAAATTGAACACTATTTTCAGATATTTCACAATAAGGATCTCGGGCCTGTGAGTCCAGAAAGAGAAGAAACAAGGTTTCTTCCCAGAGGATCCACACAAAGCACAGTGGTGTCCCTGAAGCCATGTGACAGCGATGAGACCTGGAGAAGGCTGAGGCAGCTAGAAGTCACTGCACTAATTTCTGAGTAAGGACAGTTATGTAGAAAGAGCTCGGGCGATGGGCAGAAGGGACTCTCTTGAGTCTCTGCTCAGCACTAAGATGCACACTCACAACCAACTGTGAGCGGCTGAAGGCCCAGAGGGGGGCAGTTCTCAGGCCTAACACAGGACTGGACACAAATCGAGTCTGAGCAATGAGCTGAACAGTCATCGTTGATCGTACAGAGACCTCAAAAAGGTCACTCTACCCTGGGAGGGCCAATGATTTCCTGGATTAAAGGCAACTTTGCATTAATCCCATCAAAGCTTAGAAACAAGTGTCAGATCAAACTGTGCCACTAGTAACTTTACCATCAATAGAATAAAACCCAACACTACCTGAACAAAGTGTTTTTGTTTTTGTTTTTGTTTTTTGTTTGTTTGTTTGTTAATGCAGCTACTTGAGCCGGGGCAATGACTCAGAAGTTAAGAGCACATAGTGCTCTTGTAGAGGAGGTAAACTCAATCCCGAGCATCCACACTGGGCAGCTCAAAACTGCTTGTAACTCTAACTCTAGAGGATCTTATGCTCCTGGCCTCTGAGGGCACCAGTATTCTTGTGCATATACCTACACAGAGTACACAGAGACATGTACACAACTAAAAATAAAAAATAAATCTTAAAACATATCCAGCTACTTGACATTCAATTCACAATGCCCAGAACCCAATGTCTACACCTAAAGATGGGTGTAACTTCAGTGGTGGAGAACTTGAATAGCAAGTGAGAGGCCCTAGGTTTGATTCCCACTAACACACACACACACACACACACACACACACACACACACACACACACACACTCACTCACTCACTCACATATATACATACATCACTAATTGCAGAAATGATAGATAGATTTCCCAGGTAGGGAAATGAGAAAAATAGAAGATAAAATCCAAATTAAACATAGGCATGTTTAAAATGTTAGTGCTCCAGACAGCGGTGGTGCACACCTTTAATCCTAGCAGTTCCAGATGCCTGACTTGACTCTTATTTTATTTTTAGTGTTTTGATACAGGGTCTTATATGTAGCCGTGTTTGGCCTAGAATTCACTATGCAGTCCTGTGAGTTCGAGACCAGCCTGGTCTACAGAGCAAGATCCAGGACAGGCACCAAAAAAACTACACAGAGAAACCCTGTCTTGAAAAAAAAAAAAAAAGTTAGCACTCAGAAAAGCTGAGGCAGGAGGATCAGGAGTTCAAGGCCAGTCTGGAGAATTTAGCAAGCTTCTTTCAAAATGTAAAGTTAAAAACTGGCCATAGGGTGGCTGGAACGTAGCTCAGGTGGTGGAATGGTTGTGCAGTATCCACAGACGCTGGGCTGAATCCCAAGAACCGTATAATTATCCACAGATGCTGGGCTGAATCCCAAGAACCGTATAAACCAGGCATGGGGACACAAACCTGCAATCCAGCACTCAGGAGCTAGAGCTTGTAGGATCAGGAGTTCAAGGTCACTCTCAGTTCCACAGAGAGTTTGGAGCCAGCCTTGGCTACATTAGATGCTGTCTCAAAACAACAAAACTCAGACGGATGGACAGACAGCTAGATAGGGTTAAATGGATGTAGCTTCGTGGTAAAGTGCTTGTTTTGCCTGGTATGCATGAAGCCCTGGGTTTAACTCTTCAGTACACACAGAAGTAATAATAATAAATTAGCTGGTTGGCAGTGGCGCACACTTTTAATCCCAGCATTTGGGAGACAGAAGCAGGCAGATCTTTGAGTTCCAGGACAGTCAGGGCTATACAGAGAACCCCTGTCTCAAAAAGAATTAAAAATTAATTAACTAAAATGCCAATAAATTAATAAAACATATAAAATGGTTGGGTGTGGTGGCATATGTCTATAATCCCAGAACTCAGGAAGCAGACGCAGGAGGATTGCTGGAAGTTTGAGGCCGGCCTGGGCTACATAGTGAATTCTAGACCAAACACGGCTACATATAAGACCCTGTGTCGAAACACTAAAAATAAAATAAGAGTCAAGTGGGGCATCCGGAAGTGATGATATTTTAGTAAAGGCTTTATTGGATGGGATGAACCCCACATTTAATTCTGAAAAAAATAAAAAAGGTTAGAGAAGACAGCCCAAGAGGTGGATGCTGAGTGGGATGTGGAACCCAGCCTGGTCTGCAGATCATCAATCATTCTGAGTGAGTGTATCAGCATTTCAGAGGGCAGGGGAAGAGCCAGGGCAAGATGGCACATGCCTATAACTCCAGCTACTCTGAAGTCTAGAGTTCCGGGCTAGTTTAGGCTACACAGTCAGACCTGTGGTGACATTTTGTGTATGCTCTAACAAATAAAGCTTGCCTGAAGATCAGAGGGCAAAGCAAGTCACTAGTTAGCCGTAGAGGCCAGACCGTGGTGGCACACACTTTGTCAAGCTGACAGTACATTTTGAAAAGTATTAGTCTTAGTATTATCCTGTGTGTGATGGGATGTGTATGCCATGGTCAGAGGATAACTGTGCGGAATTGGTCTTCTCCTTCCATCTTTACTGGGGTGCAAGGGATCAAACTCAGGTCATCAGGCTTGCGTGGTAGCACCTTTACCTGATTAGCCATCATTGACCCCAACGATACTTTTAATTTACTTGTGTATTTAGTGCTACTCAGGATTGATGTGAAACCCAAGGTCTCACACATGCTGAGCAAGTGACCTACCTACACTGACCTATACCCCCAGCTCTTTTGTGTGTATTTTTTATTTCAAGATAGGATCTCGCCGGGTGGTGGTGGCGCACACCTTTAATCCCAGCACTCACTCTGTGAGTTCGAGGCCAGCCTGGTCTACAAAGTGAGTTCCAGGAAAGGCGCAAAACTACCCAGAGAAACCCTGTCTCAAAAAACCAAAAAAAAAAAAAAAAAAAAAGATAGGATCTCACTAAGTTACCCCAGATTTAAAATGTCACCATCTCAACAGGAATGTGTTCCAGCTGTCACCAGGAAAATCCATTATCATGGACACTGCAGGAAGAAAATATTTCACTCTCGGTCAACGGTGTCTCCTGCTGATATGCTCATTAGATTTAACCCTAGGGCGGTGGACAGCAACCTGAGTCAGAGCGCTCCACAGACCTCAGGGCACTGAGTGGTACAGGGAATAGGAAAAGTCAGTAAAAGTATTGAGTGTGGACAAATCCTTAAGGAGCCTGACGTGAAGTGAAGACCTAAGGGATAGAAATAGTGTCTGAGCCGGTTGTTAAACAGGGGTCTCCTTAAATGTACAGCCGATTACGTCCCTGCCTAGGAGCCAAATCCTCAGGTAACTTCTAGAGAACAGAAGCTTCGGGGCCCCCAGACTGTGTGCATCCCAGATTTAGTTCCCCACAGACCCCAGGCCAAGCTACACACCCAAGGGGACACTGGTCCTCTGAGGACATCCTCTGAGTGTCATCAGATTAACAAGTGTCACCTCCTTGTAACCATTCCCAACGGTGCAGCAGGACAGGGTGGGCAGGACAGAGCCAGGGCGGTGGAGGGCACTCGGAAGGCAGAACCGAAGCTGAGCAAGTTCAGACTTACCTTGACCTCTGTCTAAGATGCCCAGCCACCTGGAGCTCCCCAGGCACTTAGCTGCTTCCTGCTGGCACTTTTGGACAATTGCCATGGAAACTACAGGCCAGGTATTTTCTGCCGGTCCAGTGTTATGGGTACTTGACTGTGCACCCCCCCCCCCTCCATCTTCACCTTGTAAAACAAGGTTCTCTGGCTGCACTTTTCTCTGTGGCCCGGCAGGACTTGCCCTGAGGTGTCTGAAATATGAGACTTTTCATGCACGCGCACAAGACACCCTTGGAAATGGAACTGTAGCCAGTGGGGAGGGGCCGGAGGCAGTAAAGTGGGGGTGGCGGGAGGTGTCCGGCAAAACCACAACAGATGGGAGACCAAGAAAGTGCTCCCCTCTAGCTCCCAGCTCGGGCATCTCTCTACCCTCTACAAGGAGGCTTAGGAGGCTTCAGCAGACGAGAGCGAAGGTGTCCTAAACGGCCACAGGATACAGTGAGCTGTAAGACTGACCAGACCCCATCTGCCCATCCTTTCCTATTCCCATAGCAGGTCAGCCTCCTCGCTTGCAAGAATCACAGGCCCTAACACAGGACCCAAAGAAGGAAAGAAGGGAGTGGGGTAGGGAGGGAGGGAGGGAGGGAGGGAGGGAGGGAGGGAGGCTAACAAACACTCTTGTGAACAAAGAGAGCTGGTCCTGTGGGTTAATCTCCTAGAACGGACCATGCCCAATGCTTGAATCCGCTTTAGTAGATCTAAATTCTCACTGGCTGTTCAAGTCAATGCCCAAAACCTCGGGGGTCAATTTATACTCCTAGTCCCATGGCTTCCTAGCTGTATGACTTTGAACAAGTCACTTGTGGATCCCAGGTGGCCTTGAATTCACTAGGCAGCCAAGGATACCTGTGAACTCTTGACCCTCCGGATCCCTCCTCCCCTAGGAATGTGCCACCATGAACCATGAACGCAATGCTGGGGGGGGGGGTGTCAAAGCCAGGGCTTCATGCACACACTCGACCAACTGAGCGCTCCAGCCCTAAGTCTCCATTCTCTCAGCTGTAAGACCTGATGGAGGGGTGGGAGGGTTAAATCAAACAATGCATGCCCGGGCTTGCACTGTGGTTAAGAACTGTTAAGAGGTCAAAATGTTATTCTTGATGAATCAGTTGCTACCACTCTGGGATCAGAGTTGATGGGGTCTAAGTCAAAGTACTCCCTTCTGTGACCAAGGACAAGACCCATCCTTTCCCAGGCTGAGGCTGAAGAAAGGCAGTCAGAGGCACATGTCAAAGCCAGTGGGGTCATGGCATCAGTGATTCCCCTGCCTGTTCTGTCTAGTTCTGCATTGCCTGTTCTGAGGTAGTTACTGTCTCATGTAACATCTGTGCTGGCAATATGGTACACGAGACAGTCAGCACTTTAACCATGTCTATGGGACATGGGACCTAAATTTTATATTTCACCTCATCTTAATTCATTTAAAGCTGATAGCCACAGTATTGATAGGGACCGTACTGAACAATGCATATAACTCTATGCAAAGATGTATAGAAGATGCACAGTAGTCTGGCCAAGCATTTACTCTTCAGCCGTCATTTGAATCACAGTCTTAGCAAAGAGATAGATCAGATAGATAGCCCATTGTATAGCTCAGAAACTGAGTCCAGGCAGTGTTAAAAGGCCTTTTCCATAGCACAAAGGGGTTAAAGACTTTTCTTCCGTCTGAAGAAGGAGCATGCTCCATGACAGCATCTCACATCAGCCCCCCAGCTCCCCTGGAAGTCTCTAAGAAAGCTCTCTGGATCTCAGGACCTGTCCCCAGGTCCACAGTCCCCGGCAGACTCCCTCAAGCTACCCACCTGGAATAGCTCCTGAACCTGAGCATCTACCCACTGCTCCATCTCCAGCCAGCGCTGCAGATGACTTCGGTCATACTTCACCGTCAGCCGGCTGGGTCTCCGGGACCTGGGCAACTTAGAAATGTCCAAGTGAGTCTTTGATTCTGAGTCTGTGGATGATGTTCTCCTTCTCTTCTCAGAAGCCCAGTGGACCTTCTTGTCTGGGTTGTCTCTGTCAGGGTTGGGAGATGTACAGGAAGCAGGACTTGAGGACAGCATGGACAGACTGGACTGGGCCAGGAGCTGGGGGAAACTGCCAGTGCAGGCCAGGGCCCAGAGGAAAATGAGGGGACAGAGAATGCAGGGAGAGGCCCACACGGAAGAAAAGAGATGGGAAGAGGGCCAAAGCTCTTGGGAGGGGCAGGGGTCAAAGATTAATTGGGCTTTGTTTAGTGCCCGGAATGAGTCTCCCGGCTTCGCTCTGCCAGCCAGTGGCAACCAAATCCCGGCCTCCTTTCTGCAGCTGCTGAGGCCTACAGAAACGTAAACCTCAGACAAGCAAAGGTCAAGAGGCTGCCAGGCCTTGAGAAGAGGAAGGAAGGAGCCTGTGAGTCCTGGGGGGTGTGGGGCTCCCACCTGTCTTCAGGATAGCTCTAGAACGTGACTCAAGTCACACATCTCAATCCCCTCAGCATCCCATCTTCTTGGAACTAACTGGTCCACTGCAGGCCTGAGCAGCTGTGGCCAGACAATTCTGGTTCCTGCAGGAGAGGGATTCCTGCCCGGAGTGAGGCACCGCCAAGGGTAATCTCAGCCAGTGGATAGAGTTGGCAGATGGCTACCTCTGACCCGTGGCCCCATGCCCCGTGTCTGGGTGTGTCTGAATTTGATCTGCTGTTCGCTCTGCTACTGTGATTGTTAAGGCAAATTTATGCAGCCTGGCCTACACTGCACGTTATGATTCTTGAGGCATGTTTATTGTCATGTGACCCTCCCCTGATTCAGCTTCTTCCTGATACAAGAAACCTGCAGACCTAACTTCACACGGGCGTTAAGACTCAGACTGCCATCTAAACAACATGCCATCGAAAAAGAGAGCGCTTTTATTTATTCAGTTCTTTATAAAACATTTTTTAAATAACTTAAAGTTATAGAAGACTGGGTTTTTGTGGTTTGTTTTGTTTTGTTTTTCTTTTTAATAAACAGCTCAGAAAGACAAATAAATAGGAAAAAAGTTTTTCTCCATTCTCCAGATGTAATTACCAACTCCTACCATCATTTTTGGATTTAGTTGTCTCGAAATAATGATTGTCCTCTAAATAATGATTGTCCTCGAAATAATGATTGTCCTTTTATGCGATATTGTGTGTGTGTGTGTGTATGTGTATGTCTGTCTGTCTGTCTGTCTGTGCTGGGGATGGAACCAAGGCCTACATATACGGGGCAAACACTCTACCACTGATCAATAACTGACTGAATCCTGGCTGTACCTGCTGCTTTCTGTGTATGATCCTGTGTGTCCGTGTGTCATGCCACAGCAGATGTGCGGAGATCAGAGGACAGCTCTCCTCCCTCGTTCCTGAAAGTCTCTCTCACTGCTGTTTCTAGGCAGTGTGCACTCCCAGCTAGCTGGCCTGTGAGCTGGGCCCTTCTCCTGTCTTCTCTGCTGCCGCGTCGCTGATAAGAATGCTGGGACTGCACCTGGGCAGCACTGGGCGCAGCTTTACATGGCTCCGAGGACTGAGTTCAGTCACCCAGCTCACATGGTAAGCACTTGATGCACTGAGCAGCCTCACCCGCCCTATTTCCTTCCTTCCTTCCTTCCTTCCTTCCTTCCTTCCTTCCTTCCTTCCTTCCTTCCTTCCTTCCTTCCTTCCTTCCTTCCTTCCTTCCTCCCTTCCTTCCTTTCTTATTTTTATTTTTTGAGCCAGGTCTCATGTAGCCAGTGTGTGGTGAGGAGCAGTCCCAGCGGCTGGGCAAATGGGAAAGCAAAGCGGGCAGTCATAGGTCCAAGAAACCTCCATCCAGGGTTCTGGATGCAGAGCGCTGGGAAAGCCTGTTTTGTAACAGCACCAATGTTGGTTTTTAATAATAATAAGCTTCTCCTCCTCATGCACACTGACACAGACAGGGCCCTGCTCTCTCTCAAGTTCCAGAGGACCTCAGGATCCACTGCCTTGTCACCAATTCCAGAAGAATGAGGTCTCACCCCACAAGCTTTTCTCTTCCTGGTTCCCTCTTCTAATTAACTACTCAGCTAATTGTTACAGGATCACCATAGAGCTGGAGTCCAAGGACCATCGGATATACCCAGGTGGTAAAGAACAGTAACAGTCCAAAGGTATTTACACCCCCAGACCCAAAAGTGTCTGGGCTCTGCAAATACAGACTTTACTATAACAATCTATTACTGTTAAATGCTCTCAATAATTGATCACCTGTGTCTCCTGGATGCTAAACTAATAAAGGAAACAAGTGTCTTAAAATAATCTGTCTCTGATAAAGCTTATCTCAGGTGAAAATTAAAAACATGTTCCAATCTCTCCCTCTCTCTCACTAACACTAACCAATATAAGCAGAGTACTAAACACTACAATGTCATGTCATGGTCACCAGCCCAAGACTTTAATTTTCTCATTGGCTGCTCCTTAATATGTTCAAAATTTTTCCAAGCTCCAGAGAATCCACCTGGACAGGTCAGCAAGCTCTGGAAACAGCTTAAATCCATCTTGACGGGTTGGATCTGCTTCAGATAGGTGCAAGCCAAACTTTCCTGGTCTTGGAACCCCCTCTCTCACCCTGGGAACACCCCGAAGAAAAAAAAAATAATAATAATAATAATAATTCTTTCTTGTCTCATCAGCATCCTGTCAGACACAGGCAGCCAGAGTCCCAGGCCAAGAAAGATGAACCGCTCCAAGGCAGCAGACCACAGCCCACCATCCCTGTCCACATCAGAAGCCCCTCCCCTACCCCCAAGGAGAGTCAACCAACACCCACCAAGTCAGCTGGAAGCAGGGTTTTTTTTGGGGGGGAGGGGAGAAACAAAGCCCCTATTCCTATTCTCCTGCTTTTTTATAATAAGCAAAGAATTTGGGATGTTAGGATTCTGCCACCATTCCAGCTACATGGCCACACATTCGCAGTTCAGTAGTTAAGCAAGGGGTCTTATGTCTTACGTCATCAGTGTGCTGCGTGATTGCGCAAATTCCTGCAGGGCAGTCATGCAATCAGTGCATGTATGGTGTCGCTCCATAAGCCCACATGTGCATGTGCAAGGAATCCTTAAAAAAAGCCGGTCACAGATTCCTCCTCTCTCTTCTGCTCTCTCCTCCTCCCCCTTTTCACCCTCCTCCTCACGTGTCCCTTCCACAAGCCTGGACACGTTCTCTTCTGTTCCACTGCCTCCTCCTAATAAAACTGATACTGGGTTTTGTGGTGCCTTGTGCCTCGTGACCTCCACACGGTAAAAGCGCCATATTTAATACCAACATAGCCTAGGTTGGCTTCAAACTTGCTACATAGCTGAAAATGGCCTCGAACTTCTCTTTTTAAAATATTTTATTTTTATGTGTGTGTATGTGTGTGTATATGCATGTGAATGCAGGTGACTGCAAGATTTAGGGAAAGGGTCAGGTTCCCTGGAATTGGTGTTACAGGCAGTTTTTTTTTTTTTAGACAAGGTTCATCTGAGAAACAGCCCTGGCTGTCCTGGAACTCATTCTGTAGACCAGACTGGCCTTGAACTCACAGGGATCCGCCTACTTCTGTCTCCCAAGTGCATATGCCACTACCACCCACCTGGCTTTTTTAGCAAAATAAAATATTTAGCTGGGCGGTGGTGGTGCATGCCTTTAATCTCAGAGCTTGGGAGGCAGAGCCCGGCGAATCTCTGTGAGTTTGAGGTCTGCCTAGTCTACAAAGTGAGTTCCAGGACAACCAGAGCTGTTACACAGAGAAACTCTCTCTCTCTCAAAAAAAAAAAAAAAAAAAAAGAGTTTAGAAATACCACGCTGGGCGGTGGTGGTGCATGCCTTTAATCTCAGCACTTGGGAGGCAGAGGCAGGTAGATCTCTGTGAGTTCGAGGCCAGCCTGGTATACAGAGTGAGTTCCAGAACAGCCAGAGCTACACAGTGACCCTGTCTCAAAAAAAAAAAACAAAAAAATAAAATAAAATAAAAAAAGAAATAACCATCTTCCAGAAATCATAAGGCCTTGGATACCCAGACATCTACAGCAGAAGGAAAGAACCTATTGGTACCAATCTATACAGGGTGATATCTCACTGCCTAACATCTGTATCTCTTTAACTCTAGAAAAGTTACAGTCCCAATTCAATTATAAATCAAGCTAGCTTTGGAGTTGAAATATGGCTCTCTCCTCTAAACCCAAGCATGTTGCTAAAAGAAAAAAAATTAAGAGATTCTGTCTCATATCAGAAGACAGAATGGGACAAAAGAAAAACCAATAATCGAGGGACCATTGTCATCAAGATTCTTTTTTCCATGCTTGTCCTTGCTTTCAGAGAACCTTTTCTCTATCCAGAATAAAATCCAAACTTTTCATTTTGATATTAAAAATATTCAAGTTTTCCACAGTAAAAAAGTCTTTCCAATAACAATCTCTTAAGTCTCCAAAAGGAAGATGGGGCCCCATAACAACGACTCGACCCAGTCCCAAATGATGCCATGGTACCCATGAACATTACTCAGTGATCAACTTTGGATTGAAATTCTCCAGGACAGTTCGAAGATGAGATGGCCCATCATGCTACACTTCTAGCCAGAATCTCAGACAACCTTACGCATTACTCTAAGACTGGCTACAGAATCTACAGCTAGCCCTATGGAGACCTAACTATCTGAGCTTTCTCACAGGACTCCACAGAGATACTGTTGCCCCCTAAACAGCAGGAAGCAATTCTAAAAAAAAAAAACAATGCTCCTCTTCAAAGATTTCATTTTTCTCCAGGTTATGGATAATAGTTACAGGATTGGGGATGGAACAATAAAAATCAGACTCAATATTCTCCTTAAAAAAAGGAAAACAGGAAGGAATGGATAGGTATAAGATATTAAGGTAGATGATGATGATGATGATGATGATTTATTTTATTTATTTATTTTTGGAGCTGAGGATCAAACCCAGGGCCTTGTGCTTGCTAGGCAAGCGTTCTATCACTGAGCTAAATCCCCAAGCCAAGAAATTTCTTTTTTTTTTTTTTTTTCTCGAGACAGGGTTTCTCTGTGTAGTTTTGGTGCCTGTCCTGGATCTCGCTCTGTAGACCAGGCTGGCCTTGAACTCACAGAGTTCCGCCTGCCTGGCTCTGCCTCCCAAGTGCTGGGATTAAAGGCGTGT